ACGCGGGCCTCTCACTGTTGTGGCCTCTTCCGTTGCGGAGCACAGGCTCCGGACGCGCAGGCTCAGCGGCCATGGCTCACGGGCCCAGCCGCTCCGCGGCATGTGGGATCTTCCCGGACCGGGGCACAAACCGGTGTCCCCCGCGTCGGCAGGCAGACCCCCAACCACTGTGCCACCAGGGAAGCCCCCAGCCTCAGTTTTAAACTACCTAGTTCTCTTACAAGTTTTAGTCTGTCGACTGGCTTTTTTATCTATATGTCTAAATCGGGCTTATCTTTACTTCCTAAACTGTTCCCCCTTTCAGCTGCAGTATCACGCCCATCTAATTTCTCATATTAGAAAGCATGCTATTCTTAACTTCTTTCTCTTTGCCAACATCCAATGAGACACCAAGATTTTAAAAAATAATTATTTATTATTATTATGGCTGCCTTTTTATCTGCCCTTGAGTTAAGCACTCTACTAAGCCCTTTATATTTATTACCTCATCTAATCCTCATGATGGCCTTTAAGAATAGCCTTATGGGGGGCTGTTATTATTTCTGTTTTAGAGATGAAGAGTCTGAGGCTTGGCGTATTTGAATTATTCTCCCATGCTTTAAATAGCTCACTCTAGTTACACAGAATTGAATCCAGGTATTTTAACTCCAGGTCCTGCTCTCTCCATCACTGGATCTTTGCCCCACTGTGTTTCTCTCAGAAAATTCTTATAAATCCAGCCCCTCCTCCAGCTACAATTACACCAGTTTACATGCCTGGGCTCCAAAGCAGATGGATTTGCATTGGAATCCTGGGGTCCCTGCCTACTGTGTGACTTTGGACAGGTGACCCTCTCTGCCTTTCATTCCTCATTAATTAATAGGTACGTACTACCTATATCACAAGTTGATTATTGGTTTTAAAATTTAAGAATACAAAGGAAAAAATAATAAAAGCTTAGGTAACCCATGTAAAGCTCTATACGCTTAATACACATAGGTTACTTAGGTAACCTATGGAAAGCTTAATCCACTTGTTTTTGTTATTATTATTCTCCAATATAAGCCCTCAAATGTTTTCACTTTGTCTCAAAAGATTTCCAGTTGGTCTCCCCAACATGAGACCTGCTAAATTCATTCTCTCCATTATTGTCAGAATTATTTTTTAAAAAGCTAAGTCTGATCATGTAATTTCCCTGCTTAAGAGCCTCTGATACTCCTCTTCTACCTGGGTTTGCCTTTTATGCCAGACTAAAGCAGTGACTTGAAATCAGATTTAAAAATAGACAGAAATAGCCACCAATAATTTTGAAAATAAAGGCAAAAGTGAGCACATAGCTCCTGTTTTAAGAACAAGGTAATTATGTAGCTCATGATAATTACCTGTGGGCATTGGTAAATACGTTGCAGCTTGATAATTGTACTCCACTGCAGGTTCAGATTAGAAGGTTCCTTAAATTTACCACAGAAGGTGCTATTTAAAGTCAGGCTAAAACCTGGAATGAGAGGAACTTTTTGGAATTATAACAGCATTTCCAAATCTTTGCAATTTCCATCTGTTTCTTTTATGTGCCACTAATAATCAATTCAGTTAAATAATTTAAAATCAACAGATTCTATTATTTCCCTGAATTTCTGGCAAACAACTGAGTCAAAGTAATGAGGAAAGATAGTTGATTTGAAACCTGGAGCAGTGTTTATCAAAATATCAATTAGGACTCATTAGTGGCACATGAAATCAATTTAGTGTCACCTGCCCCCTCACCCCAGCAATTTTTTAAAAAATGGAATAGAATACAATTTTAAAAAATACTACAGTATTCTGCAACATGGAAGGGTATATTGTTCTGTGAAATCTCTGTTTCAGTTGTATGTATGTATGTTTACTGGCTTGTAATATAAAATATATTTCCCACTATGGTATATATTTCCCACTGGTTTGGGTCAAAAAAGTTTTAAAGCCACCACCCTACAGGACACAGCAATATCGTTCAAGGAGTGGGATCAATTCCAAGTAGCCACTTAATAAAATTGGTTTAATAACATGATAACATTGAAATCATATCCCACTTGGGACCAAAAAAAACACAATTACATAATTATAATCCCAAGAGCATCATCAACACCTGATTCATTCACCAGACTTGGCTTCAAATAATTTTAAGTAGTTGAAAAAATCAAACCCATCTCTAAGAGGTGAGCATTCATTACCACAGAAACTATGCAGAAGTATTTGCCATAACTTCTGAAGTCAATACCAAAAAAGCAATTTGAGAAATATTTTCAGCAAAAGCCAAATCACTAAAATTAGACCCAGATCACTGTTTTCCAGCTGCTCCTGATGTTTGTTTGCGAATTTATCACATTTAATTATAATTCTTGTATAATTTTTCCCAACAAGACTGAGCCCCTATCATACAGAAACCTTATTTTATTATTGCTGTGTTCTTAGTGCCTTTATATATATTGTCCAGCACACAAGAGACATTTCAAAACGTTTGTCAAGAAAACGGTGCTCATTTAGATAAATATATGTTCTCAGACTTAATGACTGACTCAAGGTCAGAGCATATGCTAAGCCTATTCACGCTTCTTGCCCACTTTAAAGAATATACTTCTTAAAGTCTCTCAGCTCTACAGAACAGCGCTTGATTGGAGCTCACAACTCATAACTTTTTTTTTTTTTTAGTTTTATTATTATTATTTTTTTTGCTGCACGCAGGCCTCTCCCGTTGTGGAGCACAGGCTCTGGACGTGCAGGCTCAGCGGCCTGGCTCACGGGCCCAGCCGCCCCGCCGCATGTGGGATCTTCCAAGACCGGGGCACGAACCCGTGTTCCCTGCATCAGCAGGCGGACTCTCAACCACTGCGCCACCAGGGAAGCCCACAACTCATAACTTTTAATCAAAGGAATAAAATTTAGGAATTCCCTGGCCATCCAGTGGTTAGTACTCTGCACTCTCACTACCAAGGAACTGGGTTCAACAGTCCCTGGTGGGGGAACTAAGGTCCCACAAGGAACAAAATTTAAAACCAAAATAAGACATTATTTTGGGACTTCCCTGGTGGCGCAGTGGTTGAGAATCCACCTCCCAATGCAGGGGACACGTGTTCAATCCCTGGTCTGGTAAGATCCCTCATGCCGTGGAGCAACTAAGCCTGTGAGCCACAACTACTGAGCCTGCGTGCCACAACTACTGAAGCCCTCGAGCCTAGAGCCCGTGCTCCTCAACAAGAGAAGCCACCGCAATGAGAAGCCTGTGCACAGCAACAAAGACCCAACACAACCAAAAATAAAATAAAATTTAGAAAAAAGATATTATTTTGATATCAAATTATCATGGATGCAAGCAGGGAAACAAGCAATGTTTGTGATGGGGAAAACTGAGGAAGGTAGTTTGGAAATACACATCAAAAATCTTCAGATATACTTTTTCTTGTGAAGACATTTTGCTTCTAATTCTTCACTCTATGGAAGAATTACAAATACGCAAATATGGACACAAGGGTATTAATCTCAGTGTGGTGTACAATAAAGATGTCTAATACTAGGCAATTAGTTATGTAAATTATGGTAATTATCACAATAGAATAATATTCAGCCATGAAAAATGATGTTCAATTATCTTGGCATAGAAAGAGGCTCTGAAAATATGCTGTAAAAAGCAAGTAATAAAGTTGTGCACTGTAAAATATCATTTACATTTTTTTATGAGATGAAACTCATGTGATGTAATTAATCATTTTACACTGAACTATTCAGTGTCTACTTAGTACTTTCACAGTATTGGGCAACTGCCACCTCTGTCCAATTCCAAAACATTTTCATCACCTCAAAACGAAACCTGTATCCATTAAGCAGTTGCTTCTCATTCCCCCCCTCCCCCAATCCCTGGTAACTACCAGCCTATGTTCTGTCTCTATGGATTTACTTATTTGGGAATATTTCATGTAAATGGAATCATGTAACACGTGACCTTTTGTGTCTGATTTCTTTCATTTAGCATAATGTTTTGGAGATTTATCCACCTTGTATCAGTACTTGATTTTTTTTTTTTTTATATAGCTGAACAATACTCCATTGTATGCATATACTATAGTTTATCCATCGGTAGATAGACCTTTCAGGTTGTTTCTACCCTTTGGCTATTGACAATAGTGCTCCTATGAACATGGGTGCAGTGCAGAATCATTTTAATGATAACAAGTATCTGTTGGCAGAGAATAAGTGCAGGAATATCAGTAGTCATTTTGTGATGGAGAGATGACAGATGAGTCTTTTTACGTTATGAAGAGCGTTGGGCTTTAGAATTAAGCAACCTGCCTCTATTTCTTCACTTGTAAAGTGAAGAAAATAAAAACTACCTAATTGAATTATTGTGAAGAGTAAATGAAACATTCGTAAAGTACTTAGAAGTACATGGGGGCACAAGGTAGGTACTGAATACATAGTATGTTTTTTAAAAATCTTTTTTGGTTTTACTTTTTGGTGACATTTACTGAAAATATTTTCCCCCAGCGGAATAACATGTTAAACAGGCTTTTTTTTTTTTTTTTTTTGGAGGGTGTATTTGCATGCTACACACTTAAGATGCATGTTTCTCTTTACTCATAGTCATTTGGGCTTGTGCCAGTCAAAGGCTGCCCAATTGTTTGATCTGATAACATCATTGTGACTTAGCTCTACAGTGTAACTCTCCCTCAAAGTTTCAATTAAAATAATGTTCCAAGTAGCGTTTACGCCAACCCTCTGCCACAGTTCCTCTTCCATTTTAGTCTTTGTTTCGGCACCCCTTTATATGCTGCATATGCAAGCATCAAGGTTTTACATTTTAGGAAACGTACAAAAGAAACGGAGGGACGGGTCAAGGGCACAGGCTTTCTCGTAGACACAGCTAGGAAAATACTTTGCTATCAGGTTTTTTCAAATATATAAAATTGCCTCCAGAATTCTTGCCTTTCTGTACTCCCTAGAAAACCTCAAATTTTATTTTTCATGGCAAACTCAAACTTCTCTGCCAGACGAGCACATCTTGAGCAGAGAAGGGTCACCGTCCGGAGCGGGCAGGGGCCTCCCCGGGTTTGGGGAGGCTGAATTCGCGTCTGCAGCCCCGGAGCCGCCCCAGCGCGGGAGTTTCGAGGGGAGCTCGGGGACAGCTGCGGTGTCACGTGGGGAGGCCGCGCGGGGACCGACGCCTGGGGCCCGAGTACCCCCGGGAAAGCCGGTGCCAAAGGGCCGCATCCCCAGAGCCCAAACCTGGGCTTTCGCTAGGGCCTTGCAGGGAGGGGAGCTCGCCTGCCCGCCCGCGCCGGCACAGGTGTCCGGGTGGCGGCGCCTAGACCCCGCGGGCGGGGCCGGCGCGCCGGTGCGTGGGGCCCGGGGGCTCGAGGGGGAGGTTCGCGCGAGGTGGTTCTGGGCTCCTCCTCGGCGCTCAGGTTTCCTCTTTCCGCCCGCCGGCTGCTGGCTGCGGCACCGCCTCCCTCCGCCTCCCCCCACCCGCTCCTCGGCCTCGGCCCGCCTCGCCCCCGCCCGGGCCTCCTCGGGCTCTCTCTCTCCCTTCCCC